AGATACATCCATTTCTGCGACGAGTAATTCAGAACGGAAAGAGTACAACTGGAGAAGACATGCCTAAAATTTGGAAGGTGTAGGATAATGTGGGGGTGCACTTGGCCACCTTGAAGGGCACCTACATGTTTTGAGAAGGAAAACGCCTCAAAAAAATTCCATGTTGGGTCGATTTTCTGGGCCATTGGATCCAACGGGTTATCTTCTTCTCCCTTCCGCATGCCCCAATCTGCCCCACATCCACTCCCCACGGCCGATGGACGTTGTCGTGCACCTCCGCCTGACGGCCCCGCCCTCCCGTCAACCTTCCCCCACCGCCGTCTGTGACCATCTCTGCACCTCCACGACCCGCTTCCTCGCCTTCGCTTGGGGCTTCGCAACTCGTTGTCGCTTTTAGTGTCGTCCCCGACAGGTTCTGGCTCAGCCTCGTTGGGGTCAACGCTTGTCGTCGTGCTCCTCACGTCGCCCCACGTTTGGCCTCGCGCGAGGCAGAAAAGTTAGGTGACTCCAGAATGGCACCTGGCGATTAGCACACATATAAACCTCTTTTTCTAAATAGAAATGTGTCTATTCGCATGGTGATGATGTGATACACGAGAAGCAAACGATGACACCAACTCGCCTTTTTAAGGTTGGCCACCATGTCGGAGGTGGAAGGGGGGAGGGGGGTCCTCACCTGAATATACTTACATATTTCAGCCGAAAAAAAGAGAGAGAATATACTACATATTAAAGATCAAGAATTTCATGGGGGTAGATAATCATGCCACTGGTTTCTTGTTGTCTTCCGCTCTCTCTTTTTGGGAGCCATTTATCTTTTGCTCTAATGACCTAATCCTGAGAAACCATGGAGTGAAATCATCGATATTAGCTAATGTTATTACAAGCGAGGTTCCCCTGAGGACCAAATATTACAAAAGCGTGAGTGGCAATTGGGTTGTGGTCATATTTTGCTTCGATGGCTTAAAGCGGTGAGACCACAGAGAGAAATTGATGAATGATGTTAGCTAACATTATTGATAGTTGATTGATCACCGCTGTGAAGAACTTTTGTCGCGCCTACATCCCTAGTCTTCCAAAAAATCACAAAGAGAAACCCATGCGGTGCCAAACGTGCACCAAACTGTTGCAATCCCTGAATAGTTGAATAACATGTGGGCGCAATCCTTGTCCATATTGTTGCAGCCCCTGAATAGTTCAATAACATGTGGGCGCAATCCTTGCCCTCGGATGTCATATCTGATGCGGTGAGTGATTAAGAGTATGCTTGTGGGTGAATTTCTTTACCCTCTCTTCTCTAAATATTTTTTTGCGGGGGCTCTAAATATACTCCCTCCATTCCTAAATATAAGTCTTTTTAGCCGTTTTAAATGAACTACAACATACGAATGTATGTATACATATTTTAGAGTGTAGGTTCAGTTAATTTGCCTCCACTATGAGAGGAGGAAGAGAGATACTAGTTAAGTCTATTAGGAGAGGATGTAATCTTGTTAGCCATCACTTAGCTCAGTTGGGTAGATGTGAGATGAAGACGGTCGTATGGTTAGGGTCCGGCACTGAAAGGGTTGTAAAGTTGTGTGAACTGGATTGCTGCGGTCCAGATTAATTGATATAAATCCCTTCCTCCCCTAAAAAAAAGAGTGTAGGTTTACTCATTTTGCTTTGTATGTAGTCACCTATTAGAATCTCTAGAACGACTTATATTTGTCAACCGAGGGAGTACATGATATGCATGCTCCTATGTATTCTAAAAAAACAATAAAGACTTTAGACTAGCCTCACCTTTTCTTTTCACTTGGCTATCCAACTATTCCAGGGTGCCTTTTTTTCTCTCACAATACATTGCTATCAAAAATAAAGTTACCCAGTCACAACCTAAAAATGAGCCGGTTTAAATCGGGCAAGCTCCTCTATATCACTTTTTCCTTTTGCGAGTTCCTTTATCACAATTGTTGAAGGATGCAACTGTTGAAGGAGAAAGTCGCTGCTGGGATACGTGTCCGGAGGAGCTCCCAGAAAGTATCCTGTAGTTTAGGCAACAGTAGATTTTCATTCATGTGTTATTCCTTTTCTTCGCCTTCGAATTTCCTTGCGTTATTCCTTGTTCTCTCTTCGTGATCTGCACGCATTGTAACAGAGCCGACCTCATGTATGGGCATCCAGGGATTCGCCTTGGCCATGGATGCCTCACCTATTTTCATTCACATCGACAGCGGAGAAAAGCAGGCAAATCGAGCGAGCCAGAGGATGCGGATGCTGCAACGGACGGTTGGCTGCCCTGGCCACTCGACGGCGCCGCATCGGCCGCTCTCCACTCCACCGATGCGCCGTCGACCTATCGGACGACTGTTAAGAAGGCAGAAAGGATGAAGGAAGCTGGTGCGTGTACAGAGGATCTCTGTAGGGCTATTCGATAGGTGGAGACCACGGCCAAGAGTCGTCACAAAGCCTGGGAGGATACGAGTGGTTAAGAGTCCATTACTATTCAGCTCCAAAAAAAAAAGGTCTATTACATTTTTACTGATAGTTTTTATCCGCTCCAGAAAAATATGTTTTAACATTATATTTTCGGTGTTTGAGGAGTGGAATTATTTATTCTGTCAAAAAAAAGCTCGATGACCAAAGTATTGTCCATGGCTATCTATCCCTTCCCCTTCTATTGTGGCGGCTAGGGCAAAACTTCGTTCCCTCCAGGCTTCGTCGATGAGCCCGTGGACTACCATCTCATATGTATGCCGCTCTGGTGGCCAGCAAGGGGAGGGGGAATTTCTCGTGCTTCGATGCAACCAATATTTTAGGTTAGGTTTTTTAGTCCTCGCGGGGGCGGCGCCATGGCGGATGGTGGTGATTCTTCTTCGACCCCTGGTCTTCGAGCTGATCCACCAGGACAGAGTCGATGGATCTCCGGTGTAGAACATGTTGTATCCTTGGAGAGGTGATGTTAGGGTTTTTTTATGTAGAGAAAAGTATACTTTTCGTCTCTTAACTTTTGATGAAGTCTAGATTTGGTCCCTCAACTCTAAAACCAGACAACTTGCACCCCCAACTAACGAAACCGGACAAGGTTTGTCCCTGCTCTCGATTTTGACCGGTTTTGGTGCCGACTGACCCCCGTTTTGACCGTTGCTGACTAAAATTCACGTAATTTTTTCATATCCATGAACTTTTTGACATTCACATACTCTTTTCAGATCCACATAGTTTTTTCAAGGTCGTGTAATTTTTTCAAAAATAAACATACCTTTTTTCAAATCCGTGAACTATTTTGAAATTTGTGTACTTTTTACAAATCCATGAATTTTTTTAATTTGCATGCTTTTCTCAAATCAGTGTATTTTTTTCAAGTTCGTGTAATTTTATTGAATCCAAGTATTTTTTTTCAAATCCATGAACTGTTTTTGAAATTCACGTACTTGTTTCAAATCCGCATACTTTTTAAAGTTCGTGTATTTTTTTCAAATCCGTGTTCCTTTTCCAATCCATGAACTTTGTTTGAAATTCACATACTTGTTCCAAGTTGACATAATTTTTCAAGTCCACACATTTGTTTTCTTATTCGCGTAAAGGATATTCAAATCCGCGTATGTTTTTAAGTTCGCATAAAATTTTCAAATCCAAAAAAATATACATGAATATGAATAAGTATGTCAATTTTTAAAAATTACATGAATTTGAAAAAAACCACATGAACTTTAAAGAAGTACGTGGATTTAAAAAAGTACGTGAACATGGAAAAAGTACGCAGATTTGGAAAAAGTACACAAATTCTTAAAAAGTTCACGTATTTGAAAAAAGTACCGGAATTTGAAAACATTAAGCGGACTTGGAAAAGGTACGCGAATTTGAGTCGGCACGGTCAAAATCGGGTTGGGACATCACAAAAAACGGTCAAACCGTGACCAGGGATGAATCTTGGCCGGTTTCAGTAGTTAAGGACGCAAGTTGTCCGGTTTTAAAGTTAAGGGACCAAATCTTGACTTCCAAGAATTGAGGGATGAAAAGTATACTTTTCTCTTTTATGTACGTGCGAGACGACTAGATTTGGTATGATCCATTGAAGGGTTTAATGGCAACAATTGCAACTTTGGGATCTCGATCCTTATTGGCATGTGTATGAAGACTTTCCGACTATCAATGACATGGTCAAGCCGGCTCTTGTAAGGGAGTGGCAATAATGACGCGTGAGCAGCTCAATCTACTAGCGGCCGTGGTCATCCGATGGCCCATGAATCTCAATGTAATTCTTATCATGTTTGTGGTGCTGCTTTGTACATTCAGTGAACCTTTATAGTAGATTTAGATCCCTTTTCCCAAACTATAGTTACAAAAAAAACATTTTTATCCACTTTCACCGTACGACCCTAACAAACTTTCGGTTAATAACAAGGGGCTACTATCCTTCGAGGACGAAGGAAAAAACATCATCTCGATCTACCTTTGATAAAAAAACAATAGGGTAAAATCCAAGAGGGTTACGACTATACACTTCATTTCCGATCTACCCTTGGATAAAAAGGCTACCCTAACCGTCCACAAATCCAAGTCAAAGCGCAACACATGACACTGCGTGAAGAGCAAAAATAATCTCGGTTAAATTTTCGCCGGTCAGTTGCTGGCCAGCACACATTTCCCCAACCAAGGTGCCAATAACAAACGCAGGTCCATTCAGACGCTTCGAACTGGCATTCACAAAACCTCATCTCAACATAATTAACAACTCCATTATTCAGAGAAATAAAAAAAATCCACAATCATCATCATAATAATCATAATAAAATAGAAACAGTAGAAACTGCCGCTACCCCTCACGGAAACCCTACACCGCCGGTGGGCCCCACCGGCCCCCTCCCCCCTTTAAATGCCCCCTCGACGAACGGCCCCAAGCAGCGCAACAGCAACAGCAACATCAACGCCACACCCAAACCAGAGCCCGAAATCCCGTAGAAGAAGGAGGAAAGGAGACCACCGCCCGGAGATCTTCCGTCGGAGCGCCGGAGATGGAGCAGCTCGGGGGCAAGAAGTCGAACAAGATCACGGAGATCGTGCGGCTGCAGCAGATGCTCAAGAAGTGGCGCAAGCTCTCCGTCGCCTCCAAGTCCGACGCGGCGGCGGCCAGCACGCCCGCCGTCGCCACGGTCACCGCCGGAGGCAACGGCGAGAGCAAGGCCAAGAAGTTCCTGAAGCGGACGCTGTCCTTCACGGAGAGCCCGCCGTCGTCGGCGGCGTCGTCGGGGCCGCCGCCCAAGGGGCACCTGGCGGTGTCGGTGGGCCCGGCGATGCGGCGGTTCGTGATCCCGACCGAGTACCTCAAGCACCAGGCGTTCGCGGCGCTGCTCCGGGAGGCCGAGGAGGAGTTCGGGTTCCAGCAGGAGGGCCTGCTCCGCATCCCCTGCGACGTGCCCGCCTTCGAGGCCATCCTCCGCGCCGTCGACAAGGGCCGCGCCGGCGGCAAGCACAAGGACAACGCCGCCTTCTGCTACTGCAGCGCCGAGTTCGCCATCGCCGCCGCCGACGTCGGCACCCCCAACAACTCCCTCTGCAGATAAGCCCGGCCCGGCCGGCCGCCGGAGCCCCGTCGTCGCTCGCCGGCCACCGTTAGAAGTACCTGACTACCATCCTCTCCCACGAAAAAAAAAAGTTCTGTTCTCCATTTTTCTTCTTCTTCTTCGTCGGTCGTGTTTTTCCAGCGTCGTGATGGTGAGGGATGATTCGACGTACGGTATCTCCCCCCACGGTTTTTTTCTTACTAGGAATTATCATTACCACTGCCCGCATTCTTTCTCCGATGATGATCTGGATTAGCCGGGTGAATGGTGTAATGCATGCATGCGGACTGCGCCATTGATGGAATCATATGGAAAGATTGATGTGAAAAATGAAGGGCGATGATCTTTTTTCTCTCTTGATTGATTGATTTGTTGTTGCCCATTTTATCAGGGGTCTGTTGCGATGTCACCGGAAAGATTTTGAATGTTCCGTTCGATACGCTGCAGTTATGGGTTGCCTTTACATATTTCGCGTGCGTACATCTTCTATGGCAGCCGGCCGTTGTTGTAAAATAATCTTCACTTGACTATTGGCGCGCATGTGTTGTAGTACTACCACGTACCTGCTGTACCCTCTGGTGAAATGAATGCCACCTTTGGATCAATCGGAGTAACGTACTGCAATTCGATCCAATGCTGGAAAGAAGAAGAAAAACAGTCGCCACATGCACACAACTATTTTTTGTGAAAAAAAAAGTCCACAGTGACGTTTTTGGCGCCTTTTACTGCCTGTCCACTGCTCGTCACATGAGGCAAAGCGTGCACTCTGGAGCCGTTATCTGAGCATCGGCTAACACTTGTACGGTGCAAAGCAAAACTGGCGACCAACTGTACGACGAAGCTAGGTGACATACAGTACCAGTAGGGACAAACACGGCACCCAGATTCATGAAGGCCACTGTTCCCGTCGATCGCGCCGCACCGTACCTGCACGGCTGCACCGGCGCAACGCAATGCAGGACCCGGCTGCTGTCTGTCGTCAGGGTCGTGCCCCTCATCAGTCGGCTGGTCTGCATTCATGTGCTTCCTTAATTTCCTTGCGTTTGCCCCTCATGTTCAGGCTGGCCGGCACAGCACAATACCTTCAGATATGCAAGGTGACTGTTTGTGGTTCAGTTCAGTTTGCCCCTTTTAGTTCTTGTGTGTGTTTCTGTTGTGATTTCCACGGGGCATTCGAGGGTACGTCGTTGTAAAAACGAGCTGCATCGCACAACCGAACGGAGGATCTTGCTTTTTGAACGGACGAGGATCTAACAAATCCAAGTACTTTCTTATCTTACGTAAAAAAACCGATCTTACTTTCCCTTGGAAAAAACTAATCATGCTTATCCACGGGAGATCTGTAGTCCCATATCCCTCTGCTTTTCCGTTAGTTGTTGTGTGCCACGCTTTCATTCATCGACCTTTCTCGGGAGCCCGAACCAAAAGGAAAAGCGGCCTCTCTTTTGCAAGCCGGGTAGTGATGATGAGATTCCCTCAAGCTTGCACGAGTCTCCGAGCGAGAAAAGTGGGCGCTGCTGCAGCACTTGCACGCATCTCGTCGCCCGCCGACCTTGAATGGACGGATCCTCTCGTCTCCAAAGGTTTCTCTGGTCCAACAGCGAGCATCTCGATGGGAAGAAGATGTTGCTTGCTTCTCCTCGCATCCCGATGCGTCCCGTTCCGTTAGATCAGGTCCACCTCATACTAGTTTCGTAGTAGCAGCTACACTACTGCAGGCTGAAATCTAATCTTCGGTTAGGAGCACGAGACTGTTCAGCCCGAGACGCTTTGGAATAGAGATATGCAGACCCCCTCGATCGGCCTCCCTGAAAGTCTACAGATGCGCTGTTTGTTTACTTGCCAAGAACATGGCCTCACTTCCTGACGCATGTATCCCGATCGTCGTGATGGACGGCTTACTTGACCTCTAGAAGCAATGGCTTCGTCCCAGACTCCCAGTCAATTTTCATGTTAGGAAAAATATGTACTGCAGAACTGTTTGACAAACTGAATTTTCACTAACATGCAATGTCCAATTGTCTAGCCGATCACTAGCAATAATACGGTAGCAAGCAGCTTTTTGGAGTGTGAACTAGCTTCGACAGTTAACCGTCTGAAGCAGTTACTGTTAGGGTTCATAGGCTATGCCTATGGTGACGTACGAGCCAGCCTCTACGGGCAGCCATGTGTGAGGCGAGCGGCATGTGGCTTGCACGTCGCGAGGTGTCAAAGAGCCAGTAATGGAGCGTCCGTCCGCGGAGGCCGGGCCGAATAGTTTATAATCTATATAGGCCCTGTTTGGATACTCTAACACAGTTAGAGTTAGAGTTATTTTTTAACCCACTCTAACTCAAATAAGCACCTCTTCACCGGGATAGTTGGGTTAGATGAAACTAACCCACTCTAACCCTCCATGTTTGGATATTTTTAGGTTATTTAAGCCCTAAACTAACCCAAACTAGCTCTAACCCCATATGATCCAAACAGGGTCATAATCGCCATTGATGATGGGGTCGCCGGCCATTGCCCATTGGCCTTGCGGTACCTGCAAGGACGGACGTACCACCTTCAGATGCCGCCTAATTTTAGTACTAAATAGTACCAGTACTTGCATCGGATCCACAAATTCCACACACAGATCCATTTGCACCCCCATTTTTCAGTCTAGTTAATTAGCGCTAACATTGTTTGCATCAGAAACTGCTGGCGGTTGCCGCTACCGAGTCGCCGCATGTGCGCCTCACGTGGCCGTCCACTTTTGAATCAAGTGCATTTGAAGCCAGTTTCTGAATTTTGTGGAGCATAATTCATCTTTCGTTCTTTTTTCTCCGCTCGATTGATGCGCACAACAAAAAAGCTTTTGCGAAAACCCGGCATGCGTATTCATTAAGTAGATAAAACAATTCCCTTTTCAAGCTAGAGACGGGGTTTTGTTGGTGCACGTCGAGATCAGATCGCAGCCAAAAACCTGGATAGAACATCTAGAAATCGGCATTCCTTAGTGGTCCAGTCAAAAATGTGAAAAGTCTGAGCTGCGAAAAACAAGCCTGGTCCATGGAAAACAAGGGAAGGACGTGCAAAACATCGCTGTCCTTTCCAGGCAAGTCGTGTGAGTTTTTCTCCAGAGTTGCAGCAACTGGGCGAGAAGGAAACAATTACAGTAGTATTTCATAGGGTTTTAATTATTTGGCGTCTGATGAAATGGAGCTGACTCAACTGAGGGACCGTCTGTGGAACGCAAAGGACGTTTTGATCAATGCTGCATCATCTCTGCCCCATTAGTCTATATGCTTGAATGACGAATCATTCAAATTTTGAGGTCAGACCGCGTGTTTGGTTTATGCTGATGATCAGCAGCTCATCATTGTTGGTAATGCAAGGGAAGTGGCAGGAGTTTTTTCTCAGCAGAAAAATATTTATTTTGTCAACGAAACGAGGACTCTTCTTGTTTATGGGATGATAATGCACCTAAATGATGGGAGGTTCCAGTTCCAGGGGGCAAATTAGTTGAGAAACAAACAATTTCTTTTAGCTCAAAATATAATATGTGTGAACTGCAACTGGTGGATGCAATTATACAAATATAATGCCATTCCTTGTCAAGGGCCTCGGTGCCCAAGACAGCAGGACCTCGACTACGTAGTTCGTAGTCGCGGTGGATAGGAGCGCTAGGGTTTTTGCCTGGCTGCTCTATGATGCGGGAGGAGAAGATAGAAGGAAATAACTTTATTGCTTGTCCCTAAAGGGTGCTAACTATCTGATATATAAAGGCCCCATGGGCTAATAACAAACTAGAAACCTATACGAAACAAACTAGTCTAGGAACTAATGTGCCCGGATCAGGACTCCTGTCCAGCCTGCGCCTTGCCTGATGCGGCCGTCGGCTGCTCCTGGCCGCGCGGCCCACGTCTGTAAGACGTGCCCCACATGACATCTCTCCCCCCCTCGACGAGCAGCTCGTCCTCGAGCTGAAAAGCGGGGTAGCGCTCGACGAAACTGTCAAGATCCTCCCATGTAGCTGACGAAGCTGCTTCACCCTTCCAGTGGACGAGTAGATGGCGAACGCCGCGTGCTAGGCGCGCACGAGTCACGCGCTCTGGTTCTGGAACAGCCGCCCCGTTGTGGATCGAAGGCAATCCCGGCGGTGTAGTTGGAGGAATGCCGAAGAACTTCTTGAGGAGGCCCACGTGGAACACGTCATGGAGGCGCGAGCGTGCCGGAAGCTCAAGACGGTATGCCACGTCGTTGATCACTTCTGAAATGCGGTACGGCCCATAGAATCGTGGCTTGAGCTTGCCCCTGGTTGGCAAGTTGAGAGAGGACGCGGCGCGCTGTCGAAGGCGAAGCCAAACCCAATCGCCCACCTCATGCCGAATGTCCCGATGACGTCTGTCGTAGTAGGACTTATAGACCGCCTGTGCCTGTTGTAGACGATAGCGGACGTCCTCGATAAGTTCGTCGCGCTCAGCCATGCTCCTGGCCACTGCAGCTACCCGTGTGTCGCCGGGCTCGTAAGAGCGAATAGTGGGAGGGTCACGGCCATACACAAGCTTGAACGGAGTCTCTTGGGTTGCTGTCTGGTAGGCGGTGTTGTATATGTACTCAGCCCAGGGAAGCCACCGGAGCCACTGCTTGGGACGATCCCCGGTAAGACACCGTAAATACATCACAATGATCTTGTTAGCAGCCTCCGTTTGACCATCCGACTGTGGGTGAAATGCTGACGTCATGTGCAGCTTTGTCCCCGTGAGGCGCATGAGCTCTCGCCAAAACGCGGAGGTGAAGACGGGGTCGCGGTCAGAGACCATGGACTGCGGCACGCCATGGAGACGAACAACCTCAGCGAAGAACACCTGTGCCACTGACTCTGCCGTGTATGGGTGGGCTAACGCCACAAAATGGCAATACTTGCTGAAGCGATCCACCACGGTGAGGATGACAGACTTCCCGCCTACTCGAGGAAGCGCTTCCACGAAGTCGATGCCGATGTCAGTCCACACGCCCGTGGGCACCGGCAG